TTATAATTATCTGAACATGTGCAAATACATTTTAAAAAAGCGTTGCCAACTCACTCAATTAGCTCTAGGGAAAAGGTCCTTGGAAGAGAAGCAACATGCAACCAAGCTGCCTGTAATGCACGAATATACCAATTAACTCGGAGAAATCCCTTTAACGACACTTAGCTGAAGAAGAGATACATAATCAAAATAAACACATACAGATCCACCTGCAGCTGAGGCTGTCAGGTCCTCAAGCAACCGAAGACCAAGTTTTCCAGTTTCACTCAGGGTGTCTCTCATTGTCAATCGATCACATATAACATCCTTCTCCAAGGGCCTGCTTTCATAATTCTGTTAGTATATCAAATAACTGTAACATCAAATCCAAAGGTTCTAGTTAAACAAATTAAGAGTTCTTTATGGAGATCCTATGTCTTTATTTTATCAGGTAAACACAAACCAACCAGCATAGAGAAATTACATTGCCTACTGTGGATTAAAATAAGAAAAATTCCAAAAAAACAAAAAATATATATCTGCACAGTAAAGAAAGTGCAAGAAAAAGATAAAAGAGTAAGTCAGACAGACTTATAAGGACTGACTCACTCTGAATTATTGATATTCTGACTCAAATCTCCAGCAACAGAGCCAGTTCTTGCTGTTTGACTGCTGGAACCGTATTTAGGCATAGGAAGGGACTCAGCCGAAACCACTTGATCAAAAATCAAGGCAACTGCTTGCCTGAAGGTAGCTGCAGCCGTGCTGGAGACCAGAAAAAAGAAACCATGGATGTTGATTTTGAAAAAGTTAAAAACAAAAAAACCAAAAAATCAAAGCCATACAGGAAACCAAACTATGATTATTTTGAAATATAAAAGCAACTTACTTGTAAACACTAGGAGATCGGTTGTTGTCAAGAAGCCTGAGACAGATACTTAGTCCTAGGACCATATTTTCCTGGAATAAGGAAAGAAGCTAAACCTCACTACTAAGCATAGCCATAAAGTACCAGATCTGTGGAGAACTAATAATTTTTCACTAGGACAAGACAATTTGGTTAACTGGTCTAGCTTAGTGGGTCACTCCAAAACACAATTTCCTGACATCTGCATTCTATTGTTATATATATAAAACTATTTAACTTCTGTTAACGTCAATGAACAGGATTAGGACTGATGTTTGGTTGACTATATATAATGTAGTCTACCATAATTTTTTGTTTTATTTTCATTCTTACTAGACCAAGCTTGTTGTGTTCACCTCGGTTTCTGGATGTAGTCGAGACTGAAATATTATTAGAATAGTTTGTAGAGTCTTTAGTTGGATATTTTCTTCTGCCATTTCTGAATGCTGCAAGTACAAAAACACCGAATTAGGTAGCGCTTTGCAAGAAATGTAAATCAGTTTTGCCTTTACAAAAAAAAATTAAAAAAAAAAGAAGTAGAAAGAAGAATCTCTATAGCAGAAATTAATGTATTAGAAAGACTTAAGGCTGTCACAATGTATCTATGAAGATCCTATATATGTTAAATTTTCAACATGTCGTGGAAGACGTATGATGAAGAACTGCCTTAATCCTCATGTAAATTCAAATGCTTTGTTTTGCATTACAGAACAATAACACAAACTCTCTAGTTGATATAGGGAAGTTAAAAGGAACTCTCACTTACATCTTTCAAGGTATAAAGTATCTCCTTTAGAGATGATGGTTCAACTGCATCATGAGATATAAGCTTCTGCAAGCACGAAAGTCCTATAACACTAAGTTTTGTATTCTTGACTCCACACGCCATCAGAAAGATCCGAAGAATGTCTTCATTACTTGAAAGATCACTGGCACTCGATGATGACCGAAGCTGAAAAAGCAAAGATGAAATATAACCCATTGCGTAAACTGAGTCTCACTGCTTCCAATGTAAGGCACTTACAGTAACATTCCAACAAACATTCCAAAGAATATAAATGCAACCAATTGCTAATATTCAGTGATTTAAGCCAAGTGACATGAAAACAGAGATAGCTCAACAATTCATAATTTAGCAGTGAATCACTCTTCACTTGATCAAACAGACGCAAACTCAATCCTAGAGTCTCAATTGAAAAGCGTAATGGTAACACAAATTCAGACTTGTGCCATTAAAATCTCCATGGTTACAGTGAAATCAAGCTCCGACAGTACACTTTTACATTACTAACCTTCAATATTGCGTGCTCCGCTCCATCTTTCACGGCGGGATACCTCCGCCGCGCCTCAGCGGAGAGAGCTCGAAGATCCGCCTCCAAAGCCGCCACCAAAGCCATTTTTTCGTCACTTGGAACCTCTGCGAGGGTTTTTAGAAGAGAGCAACTCCGATGTTACCAGGAAGATCACTGAATCGAGGAGTTGGGCATTTGAGATCGGACACAAAAAGCTCCGATCGTGACGAACTGAGAAGAAAGCAAGAAAATGGAAATCCAAAAGTAAAAAAGATCTTCGCGAGCTGTGATCTTAGCACGCGCATCTCACGTGTCTCAAATCCGAAATTAATCTTGGTATACGATTTTTTGGTTTAATTCGGTTATCAGTATTTTTTGCGAATTTCAGTATTTATTTCTGTTCGGTTTAAAACCTTTTGAATGATTTTCACTATGTATAAAGAAATTGGAAGCAAATATTTATTACAACAAAAAAAATTTCTAAAATCTCTCACTAATCATTCAAATTTCTCTCCAATATATTTATACAATCTTATCTGTTTTTAAATTATATTATTACATAAAACACATGTATAATAAAAATACAAATTTTCACATATTTTGCAATTTTAAATTTTAAAAACAGAAGTGTATTACTCAAAATTTAGATAATTATTCAAAATTATTATAAAAAGGACTAGTGTGCTCCCAACTATAAATGAGTAGAAACTTTGATTTCTCAGGCATCCAAATTAAAAATTTTATTTGGTTTAATCCGGTTTTTTATTTAAAAAAATTAAAACTTTTAAAAAGCAATGCAACTATGAAACTATTTTCCGCTGAGTAAATGGTAACATAATGAGTTTTAATACAATATAGGGTAAAAATTTGCTCAAGTGGCCACTAGGGTATGTATCATGCTTCAGTGAGGGCACTGCAGGACTCGTGTTGACGATCGAGTGCCTTTGGGGGAATCAAGCAGGACCACTCGATAGGTTCGGTGTCTTTTGAGGATAAGAGTTAGAAGAATAGATTAGGTCATCGCTGCACAATCATCTAATGAGCCCAACAAAGAGTCGACGTCGTTACATAGAAGGATCTTGCCTATAATTTTGTAAATATCATATGTGTTAGGTATTTAAGATTAGAAACTAATTAATTAGTCAAACATTTATTAAAACAATATCATATTATTTTGCTATATTATCTAAGAATTTTAAGAAAATAGGAAATAACGTAATGATATTGTGAAGTTTTTACAAGAGTCAAAGCAGAATTACTATCTTACTAAAATAAACATTTATATTAAGAGAGAGTCAATATTTGCCCATCTATATATAAATTAGACTCTTCTTCTCTATTCCCTTCAAAGAATAGGTTTTTGAGCTATGAGTTTAGAGAGTGATGTAAAGAAATCAAAGGAGTCTTTGAAGTTGACAATTGTGTAGTTTGTTTGGAGTACGTTCATCATCATTGTTCACCAGTGGCTCCAAACAAACCATACAATTGTCAACTTCATCTCGTTCAACAACTTTTTTGGTTTCTTTAACATTACTCTTTGAACTCATAGCTCAACTAATCTTCGAAGGGAACAGAGAAGAAGAGCGTAATTTATATAGATGTGCAAATATTGATTGTCTCTTAAGATAAATATTTATTTTAGTATGATAGTTAAGAAATTTGCTTTGACTCTCATATAAACTTCACAATCTCCTTACATTATTTCCTATTTTCTTAAAGTTCTTACATAATATTTGCGTTCATTCGACCGTGCGAGTGTTCGTTGGACCATGCCAGTGTTCGTTGGACCGTGTGATTGTAACAAAATGAACCGTGTTTTATTTTGTTCGTTGGACCGTTTGAGTTTACGTTTGACCGTCTTTTATTTCGTATTAATCCGTGCTACCTCTTCAAACAAAATATTCAAAATAGAAACCAGAAACAATATATTTTCAGAAACTGAATTGCTCGTGCCTGGCAATTTTATATATTTGAAAAGTCTTTTAATTTTTAACCACGTCCATACAATCCGGGTTACAGCAATGCCGGAGAGTTTTAGGCCAACCGACCGAGGTATTTCTATTCTAGGCCATTTTTAGTGTAAGTTGGACCGAGGTATTTGTACGAGATCCCAAACATACAAAATATTCAAAATACAATCCATAAACACATCAATTTATTTTACCAAATCGCCTGTGCCGTGGCACTGGTTACTACCTAGTATATATTTAAACGTTGAATACGGGTATCTTGTCTAAATCGTTTACCAAGTTTTTTGTAAAAAACATTGGCAAATGATTATGTTTTAAAAGGAAGATTGTGGGAGAGAAATTTATAACAGATAGGGGACAGGACGGGGCGGGGCTGGGCGGGATAGGACGGGTCGGGACGAAACGGAAAGGGACAGGACGGGTTTTCCATTCTAAACTACACGTAAAACAATTCAAACTAAAGCCAAATCCAAATCCGATTTAGCATCTCTAAGCAAACAGTTAGAAATGTTTTGATTAGTTTAAAAACGAAACACGTAATATCACTTATCATTTTCATTTAAATTATTTTAAAATTTTATTATGTAATACAATATCTATATTTTATAACTGTATGTCTATATATAGTTTTTCAAATAAATTCATATAACAAAATTTTACCAAAATAGCATCTACATAAAAAATCATAATTTTGTAAAAATAACCCCGCACGTACTTGCGGATCCATCACTAGTTTTCTTTACACCAGAAGTAACGAGAAATGAAAGTCTTATTACCGAAGATGCAAGACAACATTAATTTAACTTGGAAATTTATTCATTTAATAGTTCTTGCCATCTTCTTACAAAGAAATCAAGATGTCAAAAGATCAGAGAAAACTCTAACAATGTTACACATTCTCTTAAAAACAACATTGCGTTGTATAACATCAGAAGGAACATTCTCACGTCCATTAAGGTTAGCTTCACACACACTTATACTAACAAAGGCTTTCGCAGCTGCTATAGATGTTGATCTATAGTCCTTAGTTGTAGCTGTATCGATCGAATTAACGGCTGATTCATAATCCGTAACGCAATACCGATATGGCATCCTTAGCGTTGGATCAGGAGTGGATCTTGATGAGTGTTGCATCGCGGCTAAGTTATTATTGCCAACTGTTTGTGTCTTTTGGATGATCGAACTGAGAAGACCGTTCACGTCGAGGGTGAACGTTCTTGGGTCAGAGGAAAGCCAAGAGATGCAGAAGTCCCTGAAGATTGGTGGTGTTGAGCAGAGTTGGTGAAGTAATATGTTTGTGACTTTGTCACTTGGAGACAAAGATGAAGACAAAGGAGTGATTGATAAAAGAACGAGAAGAGGAAGAAGAAGTAAAAGTATGTTTCTTTTGACGCAAGGAATAGCCATTTTCTTGAATGATAGATAATTATGTGTATACTTAGATGTTGATTTATGCATTATTGGTTAATTACTTATTAATATACATAGTTTTTGGATGGCTAATGTGGTAACTGTAACACTTATTTGGTAATCTTTATCATAAAGGGTAAGGTTGAAAAAATGTGAGCCAAATTTGTTTATTCAAAAGTCAATTGTTTGACTCAAATAAATTTTGGGAAGTTACAGATTCATCTTTCCTTAGAATATTCACCCTTATTTGGATGCAAATTCTTAATATATTAATTTCAGATAATTCAAAAATGGTATTCAATCCCAACATTTTCCAATTGATAATGTACCAGTCAAAATCATATAAGATCAATTCCATCTTCGAAACAAACAAACAAAAAAATCCGATAAAATTTTACTCATTTCACATGTGTCGTCGACCTCATCAAAATTTCATAATTTTTTTTGTCATTACGGCATTATATGTATGGTTCGCATAAATTCATAAGTTTAAGTAGTAAAATTTTAAAATTATTTTAGTTGACGTATGAATTACTACAGTGGTATACTTACGTATAGGCACGACCACAGTTACGGTTAATGCGGTTATGGTTAATTAACCACCGGTTAACGGTTATAAATTTTTTTAACCATAACTTTAACCATTATATATACAGTTAAGACGGTTACGGTTATGTACGGTTACGGCTAAATACGGTTACGGTTATTTGATGATTATTATAATATTAATATTGGAGATAAAATCTTAAGAAATACTATTTATTTTACAAGTAAAAAATATGTGATTTTAAATTATAGTGAATTAGTTAAATCTGGGTATTTGATCGAAACTGAGAAACTCAACATCAAATACACACAGAAATAAGAACAAAAATAGTTTAGTATCAAATATTTTGATTACTTAAGAGTTCAGCTTGTTGTATTGCTTTTAATAAGGTGAAAATTTTATCTAAACATTTGATGTGTCTTTTCATTGTATAATATAATTTATTTTAAGGATTTAAATATGCAGTTAATCAAGCGTTTAACAATACGGTTAAGGTTAGCTTTTATTCGTGTCTATACTTACGTATGTATCAAAACATATGAATTTAGTTTAGAGAGATTAGATAAATTCGAATTACAGTAAAATTTGGTTCAAGATTGAAATTACTCACATCAAGTAGAATAAACAGTTTCTTAAAATAATTATCATGTAAAGAAAATACAGAATTACAAACACACTACAACATAACTCTTTGAAACAAACAAAGAAATAAGTACACACCAATCTCGAATCATTGGACTACTATGTTATAAAACACATGTGTCTCTCCCGATCACCTACTGTGTATATACTTTCACTTCTTTGTCCTAACTCTAGAGACTCTTTTAAACTCCACAACACAAGATATCATCATAGTACTATATTCACCAAACTATCTCCAAAACTCTATTGATCCAATCCTCTAAGGATGAAACAATGACATGCCATGGAACCAAAACTTTTAAGTACCTACATAAACTACAACACCAATCACCCTTTAATCCGCCTAAACCCGAACCAAATCTCGTAGTGATTAAACAACAAACTATCATGAGTTTGTTTCCCGAGCGACTCAAGTCCCAAGCTAGCTAACCTCTCAGTACATTTACCTCCACCTAAACGCGTACAAAACTTTATATTATGCGACACAAAGATCCTCCCTGTATAAGGCTTCAACTTATCTACTACCCTCTCAAGTCCAATCCAAACGAGTTCATCAGGCATATGGAGAAAAACCGCGCTAGCGTATACCAAATCATACGCTACATCAGAACCAAACTTGCTGAATTCCATATCTTCCCCTCTAACTATAAGTGGCCGTTTATGTAATAGACCTTGAGAAGGAAGCTCATACCTTAACGCAGCCATTAAAGAAAGCTCATCTTTCTCAAGACAATGAAAACTCTCAGGATTGAGATATCGAATAAAATGCAAACCAACGCGAAGCGTGCCACAACCTATTTCAAGAACTTTAGCATTACGTTTCAGCTGAGATGCTTCTGCTAAAAACTCAAACACGTCTCGCCCACCAGCCCATGGCTCACCGTAGTTACTATGATGCTCTTCTACTAGTAACTCACCAGGACATGGTAACGCAGTATGGTTGTTCATTGCATCATCATCTTCGTAATGTGAAATACCTTTATACCTATAAATCCCAAAAACAGAGTCCAACTCAGAGAATGAACACAAAACAGAGTCCAACTCAGAGAATGAACACAAAACAATCCTAAAGTTTGTATCTTTAAATCCAATCTTAGCATATACAACACAAAACAGAGTCCAATTCAGAGAATGAACACAAAACAGAGTCCAAATCAGAGAATGAACACCAACCTATAAAATCCCAAAAACAGAGTCCAATTCAGAGAATGAACACAAAACAATCCTAAAGTTTGTATCTTTAAATCCAATCTTAGCATATACAACACAAAACAGAGTCCAATTCAGAGAATGAACACAAAACAGAGTCCAATTCAGAGAATGAACACAAAACAGAGTCCAATTCAAAGAATGAACACAAAACCTATAAAATCCCAAAAACAGAGTCCAATTCAGAGAATGAACACAAAACAATCCTAAAGTTTGTATCTTTAAATCCAATCTTAGCATATACAACACAAAACAGAGTCCAATTCAGAGAATGAACACAAAACAGAGTCCAATTCAGAGAATGAACACAAAACAGAGTCCAATTCAGAGAATGAACAGAAAACAGAGTCCAATTCAAAGAATGAACACAAAACCTATAAAATCCCAAAAACAGAGTCCAATTCATAGAATGAACACAGAACAATCCTAAAGTTTGTATCTTTAAATCCAATCTTAGCATATACAAAGACATAACGAAGCAAACAACAAATAAAAATCTCAAAGCTTTGATTTTTACAGAGATGATTGAATAAAAAAGAAGCATTTACTGAATCAGATCTTGTAATTGTTGATCTCTTGTACGAGGATTGATTCCTTTACGAAGTACATTGTCCTGCATATGTAAACCGTTCGATCGAATAAGATCTTTTACCCACTCTATATCTTCCCGCGACGTCGTAATCTTCTCAGATAACGTTATACCACCGTCGTTCACGGCGGCTACAACAACGGCGTCGTTTTGGGAGGTTATAGATGAAGAAGGACAAGAGCAGGAAGATAGAGAATACGAGAGGATGAATAAGATAATTGCAGAGAATGATGCAGTTAGAACCAGAACTGGTACTGTAACAACAATTCCTTTCTGCATCGTCGAGGATGATGATGAAGAAGACGACGAGAGAATCGCCATTAATGGATAAATCTATTGAAGCTTGTCGGAATTTTTAATAACCATGGGAAATAAACCGGATCTAACCGGATTTATTAGATTGATTGGTCTTGATTTCTAGACCGGTTATATAAATACCACTCGGTTTTATCTTCGTAAGGCATGAAGACGACAGGAGATAAAGTTGTGTTTTCGGTCAAAGACATGAGATCAAAAGACTTAAATGTTTTGTTGGTTGTGTCCTTATTACAAAACCATATTAAGACATGAACGTTATTGACTAAACAATTTTGGAAGTTTTTTAACCTGCTCCTAAGATATTGGGTCTCAATCCTAGAATCACTCTCAATATAATTTTCAATAGTATTTCACAACAATGTATTTTTTGTTATTAAGTAAGATTAAGAGTACAAAAGTGGAAGCCCCTTTCTCCCGGTGCTTGACCAAGGGTTTAATATTGCTTCTAACCAAGAATTTTGTGGTTTGAGTCTCATATAATGAGATTTATTAATAATTATCTAGATTAAAGAGACAAATTTACATGAAATCTCCAGTGATGCGCAATTAGAATTGTTTGCCGTGATTCTACTTATTGAAGGAGAAGAAAGTGTTTAAGATCAGCATAAAATGTTGTCAATAGTAAATCTAATAGGGTCCGAAGGAATTATCAATGGTAGAATTATCTTTTCAACTGTTCTCATAATTGCAGTAAGTAATAAATCTAATGATGATAAAAAAAAAAGAAGAACAATAAAGTCAGATTTTTTCATGCCTCTAATAAAGTAATTAGGGATTCCAAAGTAATTAAGTATTTTTTGATTCATACCCAATTAGATTATGATATATGTGATATATGTACAAATTAATTAATAAATATTATTTTAAGAAGATTTAATAATTTTTCTTATAATTTTTATGCAAATATTTTGTTGAATTTGAATTTTAACTATGATTTTATGTTTGGATTATTTATAGCCTTTTAGTTGTTTCGTGTGAGGTTTGGTCGGATTGCCAGGTGGCTTTAGAGGCATTAAAGGCTCCGAAATATCTATCTTATTTGGATAAGATTACTCAAGTAATATGGGTGTTGTTATTAACAAGGATATGTTTCTTACATATACTTAAGGGGTAATTAACCTGGTGACTACACAATAAATTTAACTTTAGAATATAAACCCATGATTTTACTTATTAAATTAAATAATTAATCAATACAATCTTAAAATACAAAAGGCTCATATTTTATGTTTAAACAGCTTTGCGAAAGAGAGAGATGATACATCATTTTGTCAATTTTCTTGTTGTACTATTTTTATGTGTTATTTAATGAAGACATAGTTTTATATGTTTGTCCCAAAAACATATTTTTATCTAATTATGTCTTACCTAATGATTTAATTTCTTATTACCTCAATCAAATAAAAATACATATTCCATCCCACATACTAGTTTGGAATTTAAAAAACACTCACACGTTTATTAAAACAAAAGTGTTTATAATTTAGACACGATCGCTACAAGAAAACAATCTATTTTCCAAAGCGTTTTTAGTATTGATGGAGCGTGAAAGGAAACTTGGTCATTGGAAATTTGAAAGAATAATTCTTTTGAATTTCCTTCAAAACTATGGTTGTAGGAATGTCGTAGGTAACTGAGATGAATTACGTAAGTAACCTTGTCAAGTTGTCATAATAATTTGGTAGGAAATTTGTAGGTTAATGTGCCGACATAAGAAAAAAAAAATTTGATATGATCCCATCCTCAATAATCAAGTGGGTAAACAAGTGTGAGTGGAGTGGTTGGAATAGGAAATTTTTTGGTAGGAATTTTGAAGGAAACACATTTTTCCCCCTCTATATAAAGTCAGTGTTGGATGTTGTTGGAAATCACACACAAACAATCCAATCTCTCATATAAATACATTTTTTTAAAAACTTCATTTTTCTTTTACTTTTCTTTTTACAATTTAAAAAAAACAATTTAATTTTTCCAGAATAAATTTTTTTTCCATGAATAGTTTTCACACATGGTTGTACACACAAAAAGATTTTATTCCAGCGAAATACTTACGAGGGAGTATGCAGCCAGAGTTATTGAATTCATGATCGTTGCTATAAATCAAGACAACCGTTGAAAAGTGGTAAGATGTTTGTCCTAGTCATGTTGTAATAATAATAAATTTATTGACAAAGATAAATTTAATATTATTACAACATGGACAAGGACAAAAGATCTTACCACCACTTCTACTTGTTTACCCACTTGATTATTTAAAGATGGAATCATATCTAAATTTGTTTTTCTCATATCAGCATATTAACCTACAAATTTTCTACAAAATTCTTATTACAAGGTTCTTTACATAATTCAATTTAATTACCTATGACATTTCCTTCTACAATAATTTTGAAGGAAATTGGAGGAATTATTCCTTCAAATTTTCTAAATCTACTTTCACATTCTGTCAGTTTTCTACGGGTTTTCCTACGACAATAATTTCTTTTTAAGGAAACTTTTCCTACAAAATTTCTTCGAATCTGTTTGACATTCCTCTCAAATTCCAACAATATTTTCTAAAGATTTTTGTAGGAAAATTTTCTTACGCTAGTTAGGGCACCTCCAGTGGGGGTGCTTCAATCATTGCTTAAAATTTAAAATAATTAATAATAATAAAAAGTAGGAGAAAATGCTAAGAATCGATGCTTACTTTGTGACCTTAAGACCATCATTACTTAAGTACCCCATTAAAGATACTTCAAATTAAATTAATAATATATTTAACATCAAACCACACGTACCGGTACTTAACAAGTGCTTAAGTGCACTATTGATGTATCGATACTTATGTTTTTATTGTTTTTTGAATTAAAGTAATTATATTTAAAGTTAAGTATTCTCAGAGTTCCCCACTAAGTATCTCTAGTGGAGGTGCCTAAGCATCCTTTAAGTACCATGATGTGACACATTTTATTATTAAAAAATTGATAAGTACTTTTTTAAAGGTACTAAGTAAAGGTGGTCTTAGATTTGATTAGTCAATATACCTTAGTATCAGTATTGAACTATTAGTACCATTGATTAATGTATTGGTAGAAAAATAAAAAACTTTGTATAGTTATTAAAGACTTATGTTTCTTAAGTTCAAACTAGTTGAATAAAAAGTGCAATAAAAGAATTACTATTACCCATTAATGTATCCAATAGTATATATAAAGAGTTGTTACAAACATACAGTGAAGTAAAATTCACAATAAACTTCAAAAGATGACAAAATAAAAACCTGAAACCCTTTCACACATCTCTCTGAACCATCCAAAGAAGATAGAATCTGGAATATTAATTATGATCCAGTTTCTGTGAACCCCATAAAAAGCATTCAATGTCAAACTATCACCAACCCAAAGAAGTTTTTCAAAGAAACAGTCACAAGCAAAACACATAGGCATGCTCTCAGATGTTAAAAAATGTAACTTGAGGGCTGTATCCTTTTAAAACCAGAACTGCAAACTCCACAAGTTCAAATGGTCTTAAAATCAGACCATTAGGAGGACACTGCCTCATCCTACTCAGGCTCAAACCAGAAGTCTAATCAATGGAGGAAAAAAAGAAACTCAGCACTTTCACAAGAGATGTCAAAGAAAGATGAAAGACCTGTTTCTTGACTGATCACTGTTAGATCATGTCAAGCTTGACATTCTTCTTCTGTGATGACACAGTTTAGCTCTCACATTTGGATCTGATGAAGTAACCATCTTACTCCTTGACCTTGGCGAAGAAGTATCAGTCATATTCTTTTTAAGTAAAGAACTATCTTCAATATACCTTTTAGGCGTTTCTGGTGTTCCACTGTTAGCTACAGCTTGAAGCGGTTTTGTGTATGATCTTCTAAGGAGAACTCTGCTGCGTGAGTCAGAGAGGCTAAAAGACTGAGAAGTGGAGAACTGAGTAAGATTTGTAGCCACTGATCGTATGCTCTGTGTTTTTGCACTGATTTCTTTCTCTGACATTGTTTGCCTTTGGCGACTAGCAACAGTTGAAGTCATGAAACGTGGGACAAACCCCGAACTCTTGCTTATTTTGACAAGTTTATCAGATGATTTTGGGGTTGCGTCGGTCTCTTTGAAATGATCTAATGGCGAAATGACTTTCTTTTCGACGTCTTCTAAGTGCTTATCACTGGTGATCCAAGAGAGTTTCTTGTTTTCATTAAGCAGACACTCTACTTCCTGTAACCGCGCTTTGATCTTCTTACAATTTTCTTGAGTTTCTTGCATTTCCTCTTCCAGTTCTGATATTTTCTTTTCTCTTAGCTTTTGTAGTTCCTAATCAAGTGATGATGAAAACATTTAGCTATGAGTGATCTAGATATAAATGCAAATACTGCAGTACAGGTGCTTACTTCTGTTAATCCTCTGTTAGATTCTACAGATCTCGCGCGTTTCGTAAAGCTCAAAGAGCAAATTGTTTCACCAACATCTACATCACGTGGACTTATGTGCACAAGCATCAGAACCTTTGATTTAGTACCTAAAAGAATTAAGATAACATATCAACTAAACTCAGAAAAGCAATCAAACTTAGATAACTTCAGTATATGTTAATCTGAAAAGACCTTTAAGATATTATTATAAGCAACCATATATATGCCTTTACCTAGAGAATCTTTAAGAATTTGAGTTAGCTTGCTGTTTCTGCAAGCAAGAAAAAAAAGAAAAGAAAAAGCTAAACTCAGTAGCATGACCAAAGCAAGATCTGTTTCACTTCTGCCAGATAGATGTCTATGGTTCCATGGCATATGTGTGTTAAAGGAATTAAAAGCTAATGTCTTGCCTGTAAGGCACATGTCCTTTCTTTCTCCTTAACGCTGCAATCACATCTCCAAGAGAGGAAAGTGAGAGGTTTATGGCCCTTCCTTCATCCATAGTTTGCCCTATAGCTCCGGTTTTCAAGAGCCTCTCGCTTCCTCCGAGATCTATCATCCAAAGCTTGCTAACTTCAGTTCTTGACCCCACAGCATCCCCACGACGAAAGATTGTGATCCTTGTTAAACTAGAGATAAACTAACTGAATAAGGGTAACTACCAAACAGGGAAAAAAAATGATTTGAGGACAGATACAGTAGGAACCATCAAGAAATTACCAATGAGATCTGCTCGAAGTTTCGTTTACATTTGTACAAGAAGTTGATCTGACTCGTCTCCCTTTGTTGTACCACCATCTAGCTTTTGTAAAATCCGGTACTTCCACTTCAGTCAAACCCTCAATTTCAACTGAGCCCTTTGAGTCTACTTGAATATTGAGGTTGCTACAGTAAATTTCAGGCAGACAAGAGTCAGTACTTAGAAGAATGTTCCGGTCTTATTATCTTTAAGATATGAAAGCTGGTTACTTACCATTTAGCTGAGGCTTCATATGACTTCAAAGACTGTCTTGCAGACAACAGATCCTTCAGGTTTCCCATGTAGATTTCCAACATACTCATTGTAAATGTCACAGAATGTGTATGATCCATTGAAGCTTCATTGAAAAGCTCTTTAATAGCTCTAGGAGCAAGCCCTGGTTGCTCGTTCGTGCCATCCTAAGCAACAAGGTAGAAACAAAGCTTTTCATTAGCTTAGAAAAAAAGCAAGAAAATCAAGAAAGACTAACCATGGTGAAAGACTGAGAATCTGAGAATCAAGAATGACTTTTTCTACAAAATCTGAGAATCAAGAAAGACTAACCATGGTGAAAGTCTTGCCTGTCCCAGTTTGACCATACGCCAAGACACATACGTTGTGACCATCGAGAGCAGATCTAAGAATCGGTTTCACTTCTCCGAAAACGTCTTCTACAGAGTATTTTTTTTTTTTCAACCAGGAGAAGGCCTCATTTACTCACAACTGGAAGGAAACAGAAAGCTAAGAAACCAAAAAAAAGGCCTCATTTACTAAAGCCTAACAGCAGACTAACCTTGAGTTGCTGATGGATTGAAAACCTTATCAAACTCAAACTCCTTTCGAGTTCCAGCAGATCTAACAACAACATTATCTGGTCCAAAGGAAACAGGTTCCCTAATTGGTCTCCTTTCAGTCAATAGAAATGGCCTAACTCTACAAAACACACGTATACTTCCTGCAAATTGAAACCAATCCTTGAGAAAACAATCAAAACTAAACCAAACTAAAAGAGTCTCAAAACTAAAAAAGAGTTACACAACCTTTAGTGTCTATGATCTTATTCAGAACATCTCTTCTCTTTTCATCCAATGACTTAAGCTTTGACTTCAATTCCAAAACTTCCTCTGTAAATTACCAACACAAATCAAACTAAACTTGAGCTATATAAAACATATCATGCTTAAGTCAAGAGACAATACCTTCAAGGTTTGATATTGACTTATCAAGCTCATTCCTTTCATGCTCAGGAACAACATTAACATCAGTGTAGACCAAAGGAACAACATGTTGTGGCGATTCAATAGATTCAAGAACTGACATTGAGCTAACTGGAGATTGAGGGATCAAGATCTCTCCTTTCTCAGCTGAAATTAACATTTTTTTTTTCTTTTCCTTAAGCTGACCTGAAACGAGATCCAAAGAAAAAACAAAAGAGGGAAGTGGGAGTGGAATGGAGACAACGACAACAACTCAACGTATCCAATGTAAGAATGGTAGTTAGGAACAAAGATAAAAGAACAATAAACTTTACATTATTTATAAACTATACTACAGAACTCTGAACAAGAAGACAACTTGAGTTGTCATAAAACTCAGGACAGATAGAATTGATTAATGTAAGTTCAAAGCAGAGAGAGAGAGAGAGAAGAAAAGGAAACGTTTTTATTTGTCAGAAACAAGAAAACTCCTCGGAATAAGAAATATATTAAATAAAAAGAAATGGGTTAAATTGAAGATGAAGCAATGTTTATAAGACAGAGAAGGATTCTAATAAAAATCAAAACTTTAAAGAGTCTTAGCACCATAGCTTCACAGAGACATAAGATCGAACAAGTGAGAGACAAGACAATAACAAGAACAACACAAAGGAGCAAAAAGCTATTGAAACCTCCACCAAAGTTTTGATTTTTGACAAAAGGGTATGGATGATTAGAAGGCTTTTGACAAATGATTAAATCACTTGTTTGTCTGGTGACGAATAATGATGGTTCTTGATTTCAGAAATGAAACTTAAGTCTTTCTCTGACTCTGTTTCATCTACAAGCAAATTAGTTGGATTAGTAAGACTTTTTGAGCATCGCAGGACCAAAAGTTAAAATGATTGAGGAGAGAATCAGGTTCATGGTAGGTCCATTCAAAGGACCAAAGTTAGTGCATTTTATTCCTCAGCCATTATCTTCTTCCTTACTCCTTTTATTAGTGCTTGATCGGTTTTGTCATAACCGGTTTTAGTCAACATAACCAGAAAATCAAACATTGCTTATTGTGCATACCGGTTTAAGATAACCGAGTAAAGATGAGAAATGCTTCCTTCCAACAGGATGTTAATAGACTTTATTGAGTTTGTAGATGAGAATAGGATGACTTAGCTGTGGATGTTGTAATATGCTTCTTGATTGTTTTTCCTGATGAAGGCAATAATCATCTTGTGTGCATTTAGACCACTAGTAACCTTACCTAAAAGCTTAACTTCGCCTAAGATGTTGTCTTATTTTGGCAGATGCAACTAAATATAATGGGATAGAGAACCGAAGGTCGACGGTTGAGATGTCAACTCCAAATGATGGAAATCGAGAAAATTATTATACTAGAAGATTATTGATAAATGTTAGTAATGGGTTTAGGAAGTTTAACATTATCACAATCCCTACTATTAATCGTAAAGTTATTTAAATATGTTGCCAAACATAAATAAATCAACTTTTATATGAAAACTATAATTTCATTTGATTTCAGACGTGTTTCCAAACACCTACAAAACGGGTGAACACGCGGATCTAAATAACCCGGTTCTCTTACTTGATTTATAACTGTTGTAATCTTATTTCAAAATTATACCATCCAATCATTTTATGTATATAACTAAAATAAGCTTTCAACATTTCGAGTTGCCAGCTCAATACATAATCATCAAATCATATTATGTATTGACATTTCTATGAAGAGATTTCTTTAATTTGTTTTGAATCTCGGTGTGACTTATTTGAAAGTATTCTACTAATACTTATGTTTGTTTCTGAAATTTATTTTTAGCAGATGACTTCTGATGGTGATATAGTGGAATGCATAGACAAAAACAAACAACCAGCATTCAAGCATTTCCTTCTCAAATATCACAAACTACAAATAATATTTTTAGTTTTGTTGTTTTATTTATCTATTTTATGTTTTAAAGTTTATACCATTATTAGCCATTTTATCTCTTAAATCTCAATATCAACCAATCTTTTTTTTTTGTTTTTTTGATAATCAAAATAATATAGGAAACACCGTATGCGATGGTTAGAGTGATCAAAACTCAAAAAGGAGCAAGACAAACATGGGAAGCTCATCTAAGAACCACAAGGTGTCCAAAAGGAGTCGTCCTAATACTACTACCTAACAGTCACACAAATTATCAGATTCATATGGTAAACACTATTTTAAAAAGGGAAAGTTTGTTGTATAGTACATTTTCAAAACATAATATGTAATATCATACATTTACTATTTATAATTAGCAAAATCAACATTTTTACTATGTTGTTTTATTTCTTTGACTTGTTAACCCTCACCAAAACATCTTATTTACAATAATGCCATTAATATTTAATTAAATTATATTTTTTCTTTCCTCTCAGATTTTTTAATTAGTATTTATTTTTTTTCTTTTTTCTTTTTTTTATTACATTCTCCCTTCAATCTAAAAACCAAAATACTAGTCAATCAAATTTTTTTTAAAAACCAATTTCAGATATATAAAAATTTATGTTTTTTCTCTATTATATGATATGCATTTTGTTTGAATATTTTATTTGATAATAATAGATAACTTTTATAAATTTTAGATCTATACAATTTACTAAGTTTACATATGTAATCCGTACAACTTAAAACGTGTACTTATGTACATATGTACAACTTAATAAGTGTACAAATATTAGTGTACAGATCAAACTGTACACTTATTATAGGTACAGAAAAATGTATGTATAACAACTGCATACGATGATATGTGTACATGTATAATTGTATATATAATAACTATTATATTGCATTGTACACGTATTTACAAAAGGATATATGTACAAATACAATTGTACAGATTAAATTGTACACTTATTATATGTACAGAAAAATGTATGTATAACAACTGTATACAAGAATATATGTACATATATAACTGTATATATATTGACTATTATATAAAATATAAAATCATTTAACAAAATACATATCAAATTGTAGAGAAAAAACATAGATTTTTTTGTTTGTAAAAAATATTAAAAAAAAATTATATTGGTGAACATTTTAGTTATTATATTGGTGAACATACTAACAAACACACTACCCCATTTTTGTCTTTTCACCCAACAACCTCTTACCCAATAAATACTTCTATTACACACACCCCTTATTACACACCCACATATTTTGCCAATTATAAATAGTAAATGTATGATATAGCATATTATGTTTTGAAAATGTACTATATTGCCAATTATTCCTAAGCTTATCATGTGGGTAATAATTAGTTGTTATTTTTGATAATAAATCAAATGTATTCAAATTATTGTTTTGTGATATATGCAATATTTTGATAAAATGTATTAAAATATATTGTTGTCAATAAATATAATGTATTCAAATTTATTGTACAATACAAGACTTTTGTGATTTAAAAAGAATATATAGAATGCTAGATATTAATTTTAATTGCATTGTGAGTTGTGAGTTGTGAGTTGTGACAACTGAAATAGTATTTAAATTTCATAATATATATACTAGTAAAATTAAAGAAGAACATTGAATAGTAAGTAGTAAATGAAACTTTACCAACATAAATGATTATCTGGGTCTTCCTGATCTCGCATCCGTAGCTTCCCAGAATATTTTCACAGGTTCCACCGTTAGTACAAACACTGGGACTTCCATATGCAAGCTCCTTGCACTCGTCAATATCTGGATGATCATTAATGAGATGATGATCTTAATATAAGATATATTAATATAAGGGAAAATTTGTAGTGTAGTACGTTTTGAAAACATAATATGCTATTTAGTACAAACACTATTTAAAATTTGAGAAATACGTGTTTGTGAGATAGAGAATGGTAGAGATAGCAAGGGATGTAGGGTAAGGAAGAGTTTGGAAAAAGAAAAAAATGAACTTGCATCAATCGTTGAGAATGAGTGTGTGACAAAAATGGACTTGCATCAATCGTTGAGAATGAGTGTGTGGAAATGTCGGAAGAGAGTTATTTTTTAAATAATTCATTTTCTTTTTATTACACCCTCTCATTCTAATAATTAAAATATTCGTCAATACTATTATTTTCTGATATTTTTCACATACAAAAAAATCTATATTTTTTTCTCTATAATTTGATATGCATTTTGTTAAATAATTTTAAACTTTGAATAATATTCTATATATACACAATTGTATTTGTACATATATGTTTGTGTACAGCTGTTATACATATATTTTCTGTACATATAGTTATATAGTTATATGTACAATCTGATTTATGTATGTACAATGTATTTGTATATATATCCTATTATAGAATTATGAATACAGTTGTTTACTATCTATACACTTAGTAGATTGTACGGATTACTACACACTTAGTAGGTTTTACGGATTACTACACACTTAGTAGGTTGTACGGATTACTTATGTACATTACATTTGTACACTTTGTAAGTTGTACAAATGTAATCTGTACACTTAGTAAGTTGTACAAATCTAAAAATTATAAAAATCATTTGTTATTATCAAATAAAATCATCAAACAAAATGCATATCATACATTATTCTGTACGGTTGTACGTCTCTGTACAAATATTTTAACTGTACAATATTTTATATTTGTATAATTATATATGTACATATATTTTTCTGTACATATATACATATGTTATTCGTGTAACTCATATGATATACAGTAAATATGAGTGTAGAAATTAAAATTGTGTATATGTATGTGTATCCGTACACTATAATAAACGTACATATCATATTATGTAACTATTGCATGCAAATAATTAAATCTAATAGTATTATATTATTAATGGCATGGTTATAATTATAACATTCAATTAAGGGTTTGAGAGTCATTCAAATAGTGTCTAATAGTAATCATTGTCTATTTCTCTAATTATAAATAGTATTTGTACTATGCTAATTACTTTCTCAAAATGTACTAAAACTCCAATTATTCCTTTTAAAAACTCGATTGTTCCAACTTAGAAAATCAGTTGTCATGTATAGTTATTAATAAGAAGAGAAACTGATACCAATACCCTTTTTATGATACCCTCTTTTTTTGCCATTTTCATTTTTGCCATCAATGGTCATTTTACCCCTAGTTGAAATAATATTCTTTCCCAAAGGAAGGAATATTCCTTCCAAAAATTCCCCCCCCCCAAAACATTTCCCGCCAAAAAAATTTTCGCAAAAATATTCCGCAAAAAAAAAGATATTTACAAACTTTTCCCGCCAAATTTTTTTAAAGGGTTTACAAGATTTTTTAAAGGATCTTTTAAAGGGTTTACAAGGGTTTTTAAAGGGATTTACAAGAGTTTTAAATGGTTTTTAAAAGATTTGCAATGGTTTTTAAAAGGGTTTAGAAGCTTACAAAGGTTTTTGAATGGTTTTTAAATGATTTACAATTGTTTTTAAAAGTTTTTATAAGTTTACAACACTTTTAAAAGGATTTACAAGGATTTTTTAAAGGTTTTTAAAGGTTTTTTAAAGGTTTTTTAAAAAGATTTACAAGTGTTTTTAAAAGTACTTACAAGTGTTTTTAAAAGGATTTTGAAAGATGGTTTACAAAAATAAAAAAAAAAAGGATTTTGAAAGATATTTACAAAGATTTAAAATTAGTTTTAAGGATTTACAAGGGGTTTTAAAGGGTTTTAGAAGTTTACAAGGATTTTAAAGGGTTTACAAAAGTTATTAAAGGTACTACAAGTTCTTTAAAATTGTTTTTAAGGATTTACAAAGGTTTTTAAAGGGTTTTAGAAGTTTACAAAAGTTTTTATTAAATGATTTATCACAGTTATAAGGGGTTCAAAGGGATTTACAAGTGTTTATAAATGTTATAAAATGATTTACAATGGTTTTAAAAGGTTTAC